CTGGTCCGCTAAAATAGGTGGTCTCGGAACGCTTGCTTGCGAACTCTGGAGCGGTTCATTGCTTATGTGAACGTGTGAACGCAGTCCGCAGCAAAACATAGGAAGCGTAGTATTTACGTGTCACAAGAACGCGGATATCTTCAAAATCTTTAGCGAAAGAGTCTTTCAAGACATCCACGGTTGTTAATTTAAAGAGTGAAGCAGAATTAAGTGTTGAACAGTGTCGTGTAAAGTAAAAATGCTCCGTCAGCTACATAAAAGTAAGAACACCTGTCGTCGGTGAAACTTCCCTCCTTACTGCAGAACTATGGAGCTATTTCAGGGTCATAAGTTTTGATCATTCAAAAAAATACAATTTATTTGAAAGTTCAAGTTTTTATCCTGAACTTTGAAAAATACAATGATGTATTCAAAATAAAAATAAGTAGCCTATTTGAAATAATTTGTCTGGTTTGAATATTATTTTTGATTCAGTTAAGCAATTTTTTTTGAAGAAAATATTTATTTTCAGATTTCACTTTTATACATATTTTGATATTTTAATCCTTGTTTTTTTCAGTTGCAGATTTTGTTTTTTCAGGTTTCACATTGCTTTTCACGTTCAGATCGTTTTTTTCGCTTTCAGATCTTTTTTTTCGCTTTCAGACTTTTGGCCCTGATGTTGCTTGGGGGGGGGGCGGGGCTTAGCAAAGAGTAGTTTGGCTTCCTGAGTGACAGGCCTCCCTCTGTCATGTTGCCTTCATGGATGTTAGGTAGCGCGAGAAATATATATGGGCATAGATATGTCTCAATTATTTGTGTGAACATAAAAATAATTTGTGTGTAAATATGTGATTTGTAAATGTAAAACACCATCCACAAATGTGTTTAAAAGATTTGCAAAACCACAAATAAATTTGCAAGTGTAAAATGGATCTGCAAATACGCTAAATATTTTCACAAATAAAAAAAGATCTCTTTAACATTTACAACTTTCAATCAGGAATTTGTGAATCCATTTTGTATTTGTCGACCAAAAATGCAAAAATGCGCTTGCGGATCTCAAATCTCTGCTCGCGGATCACACATTTCTGCTTGTGGATCGTCTTTTTACACACACGGAATTTTGAGACATATTTTCCGCCGGTCTCTTCTAAAATCTACTCGTGTCACTCGGTTATTTTCGGAAACCACGTGATGGCCCGCTGATGAGGACATTTCCGCATGATTTCAAAGTAAGAGCATGATGGTTTGTTTAATGCGCTGTTTTTTTATTATAATGAACAGCGAAACGTTAGATGCATTCTTACTTCACCATCATCATGTTATAGTGATACAGTTAGTTTGTTGGTTCAATATAGCATATATCGAGCACTTTCGTTGATGTTGAAGTACATGCTATATATAGCCTACGCCACTTTCGGGTCCCGGGGGAGCAGCTGGCAGCCCAGATAAAACTCTTTCTTCATTGTGTGTTTTGTATTCAGTCAAGCGGGTCAAAGTTACAAAGCACTTCACATCTTATTAATCGGCCTAATTTTACCTTACCAGTGCAGTAATAAAGTAATATGTAGAAAAGCACCGTATTTAGGTTAGCCTTCAGAGTAAGGCTACATTAAATGTTATAATATTCATCGTGTCCTTTCTACTGTATATGCAGGGGTGCACATAACTGGTACGCAGATACGAATGCCCAGCAACAATCTGAAATGCGTACCGTCACTGTGTCACAAAGCGCATTTGCGTATCGACGTACTTGTGAAGCTTTTCCAGAAGACGGTTAGATCACCGGAAGACAGAGTCGGTCTCCGTGTGCACAGACAGGGCTGCTGTTAACGTCGGTCCGTACAACGGAACTGTGCCAAACTACGCCCCCCCCCTTCACTGGAGAACTGCGCTAAAACAGCTGATCACAACGTTCACGCTCTGTGGTCATGAAGTACTCCACTAGCACCCCGCTGCCTGCTGCTCCCCCTGGGATTGACTTCAACATCAACGAAAGTGCTCGATATATGCTGTATTGAACCAATAAACTAACACAAACTGACAAACTGAAGTAAGAATACATCTAACGTTCCGCTGTTCATTATAATACAAAAACAGAGCATTAAACAAACCATCATGCTTACTTTGAAATCATGCGGAAATGTCGTCATCAGCGGCCATCACATGGTTTCCGAAAATAACCGAGTGACACGAGTAGATTTTAGAAGAGACCGGCGGAAAATATGTCTCAAAATTCAGTGTGTGTAAAAAGACGATCCACAAGCAGAAATATGAGATCCACGAGCAGAGATTTGAGATCCGCAAGCGCATTTTTGGTCGACAAATACAAAATGGATTCACAAATGCCTGATCGAAAGTTGTAAATGTTAAAGAGATATTCACAGATCTTTTTTTTATTTGTGAAAATATTTAGCGTATTTGCAGATCCGTTTTACACTTTCACATTTATTTGTGAGTTTGCAAATCTTTTAAACACATTTGTGGATGGTGTTTTACATTTACAAATCACATATTTACACACAAATTATTTTTATGTTCACACAAATAATTATGAGACATAAATATAACTCAATACTTTCTATACGCAATACTCCCGTGATTGGTGGTAAACAGTAACAGTAACTGATACCAGCGTCAACGTTCCGTTAAGCGAGCTGTTGAGCATCGTAGTTGGCAAATATCAAGGTATAAGAGCAATAAACTGTGCTAGAATGTGAAATTACGTATCCGCAACGAGCCAGCAGGTTGTTCTGGTGGACTTGACGCCATCCCCCGCTGTCTCACGGAGAGATACATACCGCGGGTCCTTCCTTCCTGCAGCGGTCAGACTATACAACCAGCACAGCCCCTAGACGTCCCACAGGGGATACATTTACATTGTTACAGCAGAGAATAGCCAAAGACAGCTTAATGTTACCTAAAGCATGCATACAAAAAGTATTAAAGATTAAAACAAGTATTTTTTTTAAAGTTACACATTGTACATAATACACACCCTGTAACAGTTCTGCGGATTTAGCAGCCATGTATTGCACCGTTTTTAACGGCATATATATATATATATTGCACATATTGCAAATATTGCACATAGTTGGTATTTATCAACAAGAGGTGTTATAGTCTGTGTTGTTTTGTGCGGGGTCTAAAGGTATTCTGATTTTGATCGCAAAAATCAAGCCAATACTATGCTGCGTTCATGGAGCTACGTGGAAGTGGGGAAGGACAATGCTTGATTGAGGATACGTAATTTCACATTCTAGCACAGTTTATTGCTCTTATACCTTGATTGTTGCCAACTACGATGCTCAACAGCTCGCTTGACGGAACTTTGACGCTGGTATCAGTTTACCACCAATCACCGGAGTATTGTGTATAGAAAGTATTGAGTTATATTTCTCGCGCTACCTAACATCCATGAAGGCAACATGACAGAGGGAGGCCTGCCACTCAGGATGCCAAGCCAAAGCCAAACTACCCTTTGCTAAGCCCCGCCCCCTCAAGCAACATCAGGGCCAAAAGTCTGAAAGCGAAAAATAAAATTCTGAAAGCGAAAAACGATCTGAAGGTGAAAAGCAATGTGAAACCTGAAAAAACAAGATTTGAAACTGAAAAAATAATTGTTTTGAATCTGAAAAGGAAAAATCTGCAACTGAAAAAAAATAAGGATTCAAATATCAAAATATGTATAAAAGTGAAATCTGAAAATAAATATTTTTATTCAAAAAAAATTGCTGAACTGAATCAAAATAATATTCAACCTGAACAATTATTTCAAATACTTATTTTTATTTTGAATACATCATTGTATTTTTCAAAGTTCAGGATAAAAACTTGAACTTTCAAATAAATTGTATTTTTTTGAATGATCAAAACTTATGACCTTGAAATAGCTCCATACAGAACGTCTCTCATTATATGTGTTATAATGTTTTTTAACGGACGTTGTCCGATTATATAATCATATGCGCGAACCGCTAGAGTCTGTTGATCTCCAGAGCAGCATGAGAATAACCTGCCGAAAGTGTCGATGCTCCATGGCGGAGGCTCCGGTAGGAATTGCCGGGATTTGCGTTTTTACCCCCTTAATGTCTTACCAATGGTTGAACAGCATTTCCGTGCACATGACTTGTGTTTAAAGTTCATAGTCTGTTTGAGTTTTACCCGTGTGAACGCAAACCGAACCTTCTGAAAAATGAAACTTTTTTTTTCAGAAGGTTCGGTTTGCGTTCACACGGGCAAAACTCAAACGGACTAGGGTATAATAAAAAAAAAGCACTTACAAATCCCAAAACATATACAAAAAAAAACATTCCGGAAGTGCTCCAGGCCTCTAGGGGGCGCGCTACGTGGAACAGATTGATGTCTGACCAGACATAGAGAGAACGAACAAGAGTGCTACAAATTGAAACCGGAGGGAACAAAGTTGATCGAAGTGGAAAAAGTCGATATATAAGAAGGTACGTTTTGATACAAAGAGCGTCATATTTACCCAGCTAGCGTTAGCTTGTTTGGTAAAAGAGCTTGCAAGTCAAGAGACAGCATTGTGCACCTAAATGTAACTCTTGACATCATATAGATATATTAGGTGCAGAGAGGAGTTGGTTTATTGTGCCCCAATGTGAATCCTAATGTGAGAGTTAAAGGACGGTCAACAATATAATGTACCTTGGTCAGTTTGGATTTATAGTGGCATTTATTCTTAATTAAAAAGTGAATTTATTTTTATTTCAGTCAGTCATTTGTGTGTTGTATGCAGGTGTGAGACATTCCAAATGTTCCAAAAGTGAGCACTCCACGAATGGACAACAGTTTGCCAGGGTAAAATAAAACATTGTCAACATATTATTTTGTGCCACAAGAAGCAGAATGTTTTAACAGTACAGTAGTTTGAATATATTTGTTTACCTTTATCAGACCTCTCAGGCACCCACAACCAGCGTCTGATCGGGTAAGACTAATTACAAATGTAATTATACCATGTAGGTTTGAATTTGTGAACATGAAATCAATAAATACCTTTGTGTGCACTTATTTCCTGGGTAAAAATAGGATGGAGCACCAACCCCATCCCAGGAAGAGGTCCAGTCTGCCCCGGGTCAGAACCACTACTATAGGTAAACGATGTTGACAGTTGCATCGTGACACAGTTGTTTGCTGTGTATCTTTATTTTACATTTGTTTGTTTGTATAGCCTCCAATCACAGTGGGTAACATTGCTAGGAAGCAGAACAATTATACTTTCATACATTTCCAAATGACACCCACAACATCTGACATCTTAGTGAAGACGATACATAAAACACCCACAAATATTTTTCAAAGATCAGATATTGTTTGTTGCATCCATTTAAAATGTTTACAAGGATTGTGCAGGAGTATGACACAAGTGCTGTTGTCAGTTTAGAACCCAATGTATTAGAAAAACAGGAAGAGGATCGACATCCTTTTGTAAATATGACTGTCATGCATATATTATGTATTTGAAAATAATTATTCAACTGTCTTCTCACTGCAGCAACACATGTACTTATCATTATTGATAGCCAGTCTGAGCCAGAAGACAAAATGGAGCAAAGGTATTAATTGTTACTATTACCACTTAATTGTTCTATCTATACTGTAAATGTTATTACTAGCTTCATCATTTAATATTACAATACATCACTTTGTCTTTCCCAGCACAGAATACCTGACTGCGGCACACATTGTTGCAGAACTCTCTGCAAAAATAACAAATACATCTTGCAGCAGGTTCAATATGAATAGAGCCAATGTGTGGGATGGAGCAATCCGTGGCTTCAAAGGTGCCTCATTCGACCCCTCTCATGAGATGTCAGTTAAGTTCACTGATGATGAGGGACAAACTGAGGATGGAAGGGACACTGGTGTTCCTAAGCGTGAGTTCCTGACCCTCCTTATGGAATGCCTGAGAATGCGAAGAAAACATCACGTCAGCAACTGTTTGTGCCCCATGGCGGTGTGACTTTCCCAGCCACTCACTGTTTCAAAATCTGATTCTAAATGTATAATGTTCTCTATAAAGATAGAACTAATACACAATTATGAATGTATAATATAAGCTGTTTTGTGTATTTAATCATACAATTTAATGATGGCTTCTACATATTTCACATAAACAGACAATGAAAAAATGCTTCATGCTGATAACTAGTGTATGCATCTGCCAATTAGTATTCTAAACAGAGTAGTGTGTTGCTTATTTCTTGCATTTGAAACAGATACAATAAAAAAAAGTGAACTTACTGTTGTGTTCAACTTCTGCCACAAACTGTACATTGTTGCCACAGGAGCCACAGAACACTTGAACTGTCCCCAGATGTTGGCCACAGAAAGGACAAAACATGGCGGCCTGAAAAGACATACATTGATGTAGTAAATCCATTTAATCAAGTCAATCAAAAACACAGTATAAATAGTGGTTAGCTAAATAAATAGAAAGATACATCATGTGTACCGTTGAATCTGTGTTTAGTCTCTCTCTCTCTCCTTGAATGTCTTCTCTATATTTGTTCTTGAGCATGTCTAATGCACACTACTATCCTGTCATTACTTTGTCCCTCTTCACATTTTGTCACTTCTCTCTCTCTCTCAATTCAATAGCTTTATTAGCATCACCATAGTTACAGGCAATTGCTAAAGCTCTGTATAGTTGCAACATCTATACACAAATACATACAAACAAACTGCTAAGAATTCAAATGTCCTTTTTCCGCGGTACTCACTATGGCCCGTGTTATTTGCCTGCACTTGATTTGTCATCTCTTTTAACAATGTTCTTCCCTCACTGTATCTTCTCTTCACTGAAGCTCTCCTCTCCTCAGCTGGTGTAGTAGTAGTTAGGCACGCTAGCTATATAAATATGACGCTCTATGTATAAAAACAAAACTTACCTTCTTATATCTTTCTCCACTTAAATGAACTTTCTTTCCTCCCGATTTCCATCACTCTTGTTCGTTCTCTCTAGGCCCTTTCTCATTTCATCAAATCCCCCTCCTCGACTCCTCGACTCCTCGGTCCTCCGGTAGTGACCCGGAAATGAATTTTAGCGCGCCATGTTGAAGGACATCTCATTTCTCTAAATGCACTTCGAGGACCGAGGATCGAGCGTCGAGGAGGCTCTCTGGAGGAGCTACAGTATAACCGAGGATACACTGATGGGTCCTCCACGGCTCCTTCGTGGATGCATTTCCGGGAACAGAGATGTTTCAAAGAGTCGTGACGCACGGCCGGACTTATCTCAGCCAATCACAGCTCTGCATGCATCCCCTGGATATTATTTTATGAACTGCTCTCATCGCAACGCGATGTTTACAGTGAGAACAGCTGTGAGGTCTGTGCAGAAAGCAGAGCAGTGTTACTGTATAATATATATCACTCAGTATAACAGGCCTACATTACTCTCTGTAGTTGCTGTAGTTTAGTAGATATCTACAAACAGTCGATATTTTTCTAAAACCATTTAGTGCTTCACATAATAAAATACACAACGGCTGTAGCCTGATTATATGCTTTAGGAGCTGTAGGTGCGTGTGGTACAGTGTGTAGGTGTGTGTGTGTTGTACAGTGTAGTGTGTAGGTGTGTGTGTTTTGTACAGTGCGTAGATGCAGCGGACAGACAGGTCTCAGTTGGTTTGGTGTCCTCTGCTTACTTTTAATACTTGTAAATAAAACTTTTGGCCCGTAATTTATTTCCCTCATTGTAGCAACCAAAGAGGGGGGAGGGTATATATCCAGTCTCTGAGAGTGTTACGTTATTATGAGAGTGCTCTGTTTGATTCTGAAATGGTATATATTTATATAAATATATATGTGTGTGTATGTGTATGTGTGTGTCCACATCTGTAGACTGTTATTGTCTAATTATACTGCACTGTGAATTAATCAAAGTAAATATATAAGTCGTCATGAACACATCTGTCCATCAGACAGAGGGCTGCTGTGCCTCCTGTCATCATTAATGGACGTCTCTTTAAAATGACCTCTCAGAGGAGAGGAGTTCTCATTTCTCTAACCGCCTGCTGCTTCCCCTCCTCTCTCCTCGGCTCCCCTCCTCGACTCCTCCGTTCGCATCTCCTGTGGGCGGGACTAAGTCTCGAGGATAGGAGTCGAGGAGGGGAGTTAGAGAAATGAGAAAGGGCCTCTATGTCTGGTCAGACATCAATCTGTTCCACGTAGCGCGCCCCCTAGAGGCCTGGAGCACTTCCGGAATGTTTTTTTGTGTATGTGTTTTGGGATTTGTACGTGCTTTGGACTTTGCATATCGTTTTGGTATTTGCAGCGATTTTTTGTTGCGTTTGTTTTCGGGGTTTGTGTGTTGTATTTAGTTTGCATCATTTCTGTAAATGCAGCGTTTTTCTGTTGTATTTGTTTTCAGGGTTTGTTTGTTTTTCATTTCATTATTTGCAGGTGTTTCCTGCTTATGTATGCGTTTTGGGCCGTTGTTCCGCGTTTGCACCTGCCCTGTAACAGCTAGCCCTGATGCTCACTCTCCCTGAAGGTAGATATTTGTTTGAAACTGTGGGGAATTGGATATCATTCATGTTATCCAAAAAAACGTAATAGTACATCATTAAAACGCTTTACACTGTATCAAGACTGTCAATTTGTCAAAGTTAGCCAGTAACTACAGCTTTGTTTGTCACTTACCTTCATAATTGTCGACGTAGCTGGATATGTAGCTACATCTTGAACCCCTTTTCTCTTTTGCTCCTCGGGGCTGAGCCTGCCGCTTGTACCAGCCGATGTACATCACTAATGTTAACTTTCGGTAGGTCTTGGAGACATCGAGTGTAAAATAGTGCCTATATAATATCTATACGCTATCTATCGCTCTTCCCTCTACCGCTCTACTGTAGACCGGAAGTTTACAACCGCACACCCAGCCGCCGGAAGTTGATAGACGCCATCTTGTGCAACTAGCCCATTAAAGCCGTTATAATGCATTAAATCAAAAGTCATGAAAGAGATAAGGAGGAGAAAAGGCGTGTGGTAGTAAGCAATTAATGTAAAATGTCGAAATCCTCTGTTTAACGCGATGTCGGACATTGAAGACTAAGGCGGGCGGCCCCCTTCTACACAGCACGGAAGAGGATAAAAGCAGACGGCCGACTTTTGTCTCTTCATTACCTTCTGCTTGTTCTATTACCACGTTACTTTATTAAAGTACCCATTTGAACCTTTTCAGAGACTCCACTAGTCTCGTTATTTTAAGGTTGGCCCACTGTTCTGTGTGTCCAGCAGAGCGACACATGTAGACTCACCCAAATGCAACAAGGTAATATTCACCATAAAGAACAAGCTGCTGTTCAGTACACAGAATCTAGTAATGGGGGTGAATTGCCATCTAGTGGCTCCCAGATGCACGTTCATTACAGAAAATGAAATTGTGGCTCACACTAAATATTCACTTATTGTTGCTCTTTGGTTAATGCCGATACCAAAGCTGCTCCCTATCATCAGGCAGCCGTCCCGCAGGCGGTTTGGCCTGATTGTTTCCAGCCCGTGGTCGTGGTGCCTGTTAGCAGCTGATGTTGCAGCTGTTGCTAATGCAGCGTGTGTTGGGCTGATAATGGAGACGGGCTGAAACAAGACAGCCCAGAGAGGAAGAGCACAGACTGGTAGCAGACTGTGTGTTATTCCAGTTTCAGTGTTAGTTGTGGTTAATAGATGCCTGTAAACACCCGGGGGACACAGTGTGTACTACATGTGGTGTTACAGATGTTAGAGGATTAGGAGGAATTATCTGTGAACAGGTAGAGAGAGAAGGATTTAAAGGTGTTATTCATGTGCAAAGCCTCAGTGTCCTCACGCAGCAGTTATATTAATGCAATGCTGCCCCCTGGTGGCGTACAACAAACAACAAACCTCAACCAGTTATTGTAAAATCATTATTTATTCAAACATTTTAATAGAGAAAATGTGTTTTTCTTTATTCTGGGTGGTTAAATTCTCAACTCTATACAAAACCATGTGTAAAACTGTAGGTGTAACATTTACAAATATACAGAAGGAAACGGCACCTTGCTGAGTCGGAGGACACCGTCAGTCAATATTGAAAGTACAAATGTGTGTTGGTGGGCAGCTACAAAAATAGAGATCGCTTTCAGGTAGATGCAAGTTTGGTATATAATAAGGGTTTAAAAGCCATCTATTTAGAAATCAAATGATTTTAAATGAACGATTTAAAACATGAAAATATGAAGAATAAACCTCTTCTTCACGCACTAAAATCTATTCACCAAACTACAATGTCTACGTTGATTTTAAACATATCCTAAGCACGTTGCATTTAAACTACATGAAACGACTGAAGCTTCACATGAAATTAAAATAAATAACTAAACATTGATTTAAGCTTGAGTTTAGTAAATAAATATGCTGACAATAAAATCAAGTAGCCTACTGGAGATGACTACTGCTTCGTGAGTGACAGCAGGGTTAATTGCTTTGCGATGGCTATATGGCTTATTCATAGTTAGGAAGGCAACTCAGTAGGTTACACAGTTCGGAGTTCAAACTAATTCAGTTAAAAAGAAAACATCTACAATCAATATTCAATAAAAATGTGTTGTTGTCTATTAAAAACAAATGTGTCGATGTCCATTGTTAACACAAATCATCTGATTATAAACGTTACTGTTCTGTGCATAACTGAAAAGTGTTCATTCATAAACCCTCTCGTAACACACATCCATCTTTGCACTTTCTTGAACAGTAATTAGCATTTGTCCATTTCTCTGATCATTATTTGAGGAGAGAGGCCATCCAACGTGGCTGCTTCTGTTCATCAGATGATCAGGTTTATCTGGAAAACCTCTGCCCTCCTCATTTAAAAAGAGTCTCTCTGCGTGGAGGGAGCGTTTGATCTCTCCCCCCTGACACCCAGTCTATTTGAGAAAGCCCTTGTAGAGGAAATGGGAGTGACTGGAAAATCTCTCGTTCTCCAAACAGAACAGCAGGTCCCTGAGATTGACGCGTGTGATTCGCTGCCGCGTCGGCCTGGAGCCCGAAGCCCCGCCGGAGAGGGAGGGACCTGACCCGGACCCCTGGGGAGGAGAGAGAGAGGGGAGAGGTTTAGGGTGGGGGGTCAGTAATGTTTGTCTTTTTTCACAGCCCGATAAGTTGCCACAAAAAAATGTATCTCAAGAGTTTGACCATGCATGCACCTTCACAGACTTGTCTTTTACACTTTTAAAAGTTATAGAAACACAATATTTTGTATGAAATATGTTGAGCCACAAGGAGCAGCATGGTGTCCGAGTTTAAGGCACCATCATGTCTTCCCTGTGCACTCCTGTTTTACACTTAAAGTCCAAGGAAGTGCAGTCTGTTATCACTATTTATTAGAACCCCAGGTGGTAGCCCTACTTCTGCAGTTGTCAAGGCAGTATATAGAAAGATTTAGAAGGAACTCAACTAAATAGAAGCGTACTATTTGATTAATAAAATATCAACTTCATACTGCAATAGAGTGCAATAAAACTAGCAGAGAGGTTTGGCTGAAACTATGGGAACAATTGTTGAAATAGAGAGCCATTTGGTATGAATGGGAGTGTGTGTGAGTGTGTATCTGTCTGTCGATATGTGTCTACGAACTATTCAGATTCAAACTAGTGTGAGTGTGTGTGTGTGTGTGTGTGTGTGTGTGTGTGTGTGTGTGTGTGTGTGTGTGTGTGTGTGTGTGTGTGTGTGTGTGTGTGTGTGTGTGTATCTGTCTGTCGATATGTGTCTACAAACTATTCAGATTCAAACTAGTGTGTGTGTGTGTGTGTGTGTATCTGTCTGTCGATATGTGTCTACAAACTATTCAGATTCAAACTAGTGTGTGTGTGTGTGTGTGTGTGTGTGTGTGTGTCTGTCTGTCGATATGTGTCTACAAACTATTCAGATTCAAACTAGTGTGTGTGTGTGTGTGTGTGTGTGTGTGTGTCTGTCTGTCGATATGTGTCTACGAACTATTCAGATTAAAACTAGTGTGTGTGTGTGTGTGTGTGTGTGTGTGTGTGTGTGTGTGTGTGTGTGTGTAGTCTGTTAGAAACTATGACCTCATCCAACATTTCCCTAACCTCTTTCCTGATACATGCAGTGAATCCCTATGAACCCTCTAAATGCCCTTCTTTACAGCCCCTTTGCAGGTTAGTCAGAAAGCCCTGCCGTCATGGCCTCTGTTGCTTACAGACAAATACCATAGTGTTTTGTTAAAGTGTTATTCCCTGTTGTTAGGAACTTCCCCGCTAACCATTCAATGCTACAGCAAATTGGACAGAATACAAAACTCTGCGACATCTGTTTTTCCAATAAATATTATAAAAAAGAAACAAACACAAACTCTAAATGACTGCAAACTTTATCGAAGTAGGTAAATAAAAAAAGATATTGCACATTGTTTCCTGAATAATACCGGGCTATTTTCTTTCAGCAAATGGTTATACACTTATTACAGAGAACAGGCTCTCCTTCTGTTGATGCTCCCCAGTGATTCAAAACCACAGTAAACAATTGAATGTGGAGAGAAACACCCCCCCCCCCCCAGTAATCAGAGCATAACCCAAAGCACGGAGTATATAGCGTATATATATCAAAAACAACTATCCCCATGGCTATTAAAATCTAGCACAGACAGAGGGTTGAGGTCAGAGGAGAAATCAATTAACTGAATCAATACCAGTGATGAGCAGAGGCTCTGAGCGGTAGCTGTTCTCCAAGAGGTAAGGTGTGTGACGTTAGGAGGACCGTGTGATCGTGCTAAATGAGTGTGACTGGTGTGATAAGGAGAGTCGACTGACATGCTCTGCCAGAAGCAACAAGTGGCTTCATTATTTTATTTTCCGAGATATGCGAGGTGCACGGATGACTGACAGGTCTCAGTCAGTGTCAGCTCGTCAGAAACGTTGTCTGGCGGAGTCATACTTGCCAACCTTGAGACCTCAGAAATCGGGAGAATTTCAAAACCACCGAGGGGGGTGGGGGGGGTGTGCTAGTGGATCGGGGGGGGGGGTGTGCTAGTGGATCGCCGGAGCTGTACTAGATTAACACTAACATGCTTATTGTAGTTGTAAGTGCACTGCCTTGCGGCCTGAAGCACCACCCTTGATGGAGCATAGGTGTGGGCTGGACCTGTATTTTACAGGAAAGGATTGAGCAGAGGGTAGAGTTGTCGATTCTTGTTCTGTTTTCTGTGATATATCTTCCTCACCCTCTCAGACTTTCAGTTGCGCGCGCTACTAAAGAGACGTGCTACCATAGAAACCAAACAATGGTGTAGTTGTATTAAAGTCCGAGTGGAAACAGTCCTGAGTAAATCTGATTTAGTCAGAAATCGGGAGAAATGCGGGAGAAATATGACCCCGGGAGGAAACCGGGAGAGGGCGAAATCGGGAGTCTCCCGCGAAAATCGGGAGGGTTGGCAAGTATGGGCGGAGTAGATAACTGACTGTTAGTGCTAACATTAGCCGTTTCTATTACCAGTGTTTTACATCGACAGAGCTGGTGTCTTTTTTAAAGTCTGACTCATACGTTGCTCTCCAATCAGTCTCCAGGTTATACTAATTAAGTATCATAAAGAGAGGTTCTCTGCAGCGCAGCGTTGATTCTGTTAACAATGAGTGTGAAGAAATATGTTCACCAAGACCTTTTCCCCAAGACTATGACGATGAGCGGACGACAGTATCAAACACTAACCGTGACGATATCAAAATGCAATATCTTTGACGGAAAAAGACTAAAACATAGTTTATAATTTGGGTCAGGATTATTTTATTCATCATATTTTGGTAAATTAGTGAACGTTGACTCTTTCAATGGGCCAGGTGTGTACGACTAACCACTGCGTGCACTATATTACTCATGAGCAAAGCCAGATTCAAAGTCATTCAACCTGCGTTTTTCATTATAAAATAATAACAAATGATCTGAAATAAGTTCGAATAAAATGACAACTTTTTTTTAATCGGCTAGAATAAATGACGAAAACTTAATTAAATCTGAACTCAAACAGGACATTTGATTCAGCACTAAAGGGTAATGACTTTGTCGACTAAATCATTTTAATTTGTTATAACTAAAACTATGAAGGATAAAACGACTCAAATGTGAAATATGTTAATAAATCTAAAGAGCAAGAGTAAGATGAATATATGAAATAGCCGATAAAACTAACACTGTTGTCGGGTGAGGATGACAAAGGTTGTTAAGGAAGATGCCAAAGGTATAAGGTGACTCCATGACAGGGGCTTTGATCAGCTGTGAGCCCATCTGTATGGTACGTAGCGTTACCTCGGCTGCAGCGGAGGAGGACTGAGAGTCCAGGAGCTTCCTCTTCTTCCTCGGTCCGATGGCAGCGAGAGCCGTCAGGTTGGCCTCCCTCTGCCTCACCTGAGCCAGCTCCTGCTGCTGCATCTGGGAAACACACACAGCAACACGGATATCAAGCATACAGTGTGAAAACATACAACAGACACTCATTCCTCGTCCTCTCATCCTACCTCTTTCGCCTTCTGTTTCAGAAGCAGCTGCTCTGGGTCCTCTTGCCGAGCTCGAGACTGAAAGGCCAAAGAAAGACAGCATTGATCACTGTTGGGCAGGAGAAAGGCCAAATCCCAGGTCAAACAGGGTCAGAGATGAGGGGGACATTGCAGGTGTTTGCCCATTAGCTAGAACTCAATGAAATACTTTCTAATTTTGCAGAATCTACATCAACTACTTGTGAGTTCAAGTTTCTAGAAAATTCACATATCCATCAATAACTATATTTAAATGTGTAAAATATTATTCATTCCTAATCAGGGTATATGCAGGAATCCTGAAGTCACATGTAAGACCTTTTAAGACCTTTTTTAAGACCCTTTCCGTACATTTTAAGACCTCATCGCCACTTGGAGTTTTAACCGGTTACATTGGCGACACACTTTACCTCACATTGACTATATACAGTATTGATTGTCCTTCCTCCTTATCTTCCAACCATTTGGACGCAGACTTGCATTTCTCCATAACGATGTTGTTTAACAACCGGCGTAAACGGACCTTCGCGCGCTATCAAGCAGTGAGCGTGCGATGTCCTGTTCAGATGACGTCAAACCCAACGGGATGCCAACAATAAACTACACAGAATCACACTACACACCTACGCAATGATTACATTCAGGCAGACTGTAGAATACAACCTCTTTGGACCATTTATATACTTATTGAAAATAAGCTACAAAATGTAATACCTTGGAAAATGCCGTTTAATACTTTTTAATAGCCTTAATTTTCGCTAAATTGATTTATCAATACTCTTTAAGACCCCGCGGACACCCTGCTAAAGTCACATACCGAGTAGCATTTAATTTGGTGCTGTAAATGTGTTACCAGTGCCATTTAATATATCAAACAGTACATTTGTTAGAAAATGTTCCAACAGAACAGAGTTGAAATCAATCAGGGCCGACCTTTAGTAAAACTCTAAAGAATATGAATGTTCCTCTGGCGAAGTGAATATCTTTGAGAAACCAACACATTCAATAAACACAGAATATAACAGCATTTAAACTGCAGTCAGTCTGTTTAAACCCAGAGTATGTTCAATGGACTGCCTGCTGCATGTAGAGTCACTCAACCCAGTCTCATGGCATTTCGTGTTCACCAACACGATTTTTAATCTATTGATTCGTGTTCACCAACACGATTTTTAATCTATTGATTCGTGTTCACCAACACGATTTTTAATCTATTGATTCGTGTTCACCAACACGATTTCCCCCTTTTTTTCGTGTTGCACAGCACGATTTTAAAAGCAATGTATTTCTACTGGTAATGACGCTCATGGAAGCACGGCATTCGTTTGTGTCGGCTGCCCTTAAAGGCAATGTGAGCGTCCATTCTCATTGGATAACGGAGAATTGTACACCCAGAAGTAAGTATTCCCCTTACTTATTGATTGTACAGTGATATCTGCACTACTCATCGAATAAAAAACACCAGATTATCCTTGTTAATTACACAACATTGATTGGTTTAAATTGTGTGCAATCAATGCTTTTGTATTTTTCCCCTTCGATTCGGAGAAACAAATATTTTTTCGGAGTAAAGGATGGCAGAAGACACTACACTACCCAGAATCCCCAGCTATCGTTTGGACTACACCATGTGCTCTGTTTGACAAACCCCGTTTTTTGTCACCATTCATTCCAATGGCTGGCGTCTATGTCACGTGATCTTCAAATTTATCCCTGCAGAAAAATAAAATATGGCCGAACTTTTTTAAAGTTAGTTTGGCCATTAAAATGCGTGTTGATGTCATTTGATGCGAGAAATATGAGTTGTTATTTCAGATTATGTGTGCAGTGGATGTACATGATCTTTAGTTTGCTAGTTATTACGAAGATTACTTCAGGAAGTTTTCATTGTTACCAAGGTGGTTGCTAGGGACGCTGCTATCGATATTATTTCTGTTATGTTGTGTAACTGTTTAATGGTGTTATCTTTATTGCTACCCCCTTCCCCGTCAATGTATAGTGTTGGTCCACAGCGCAAACGTATTAGTTTAACAAAATCCGCATCTAAAGATACGTTATTTTCCCCTGTGCAATTCCAGTCTCACATCTCACAGCACATCGTCATTAACAAATACCGGAAACGGACCGAAAACATTTTTAAAAATAAAAATAATACTTTATTCCGAGTGTGCTTGCTTTTCTCTTTGAATGTCATCACATAACGGCTTTGTAATACACGGTTCGGCTGCATTAAATATTACATATCTGCCGTAGTTCTGTATTTATAGAGCCCTGATGAGAAGACTTCTCGACAAACATGAGGAACTGAAAACGTGACGTGGATCATAAATATATCAGCCATTAAACAACATCTTACATTTATTTTTACACAATACGTCTCCTTGCAGTATCAACACTAATTCGGCTGACTTTTATATTTGATCCAATTGGTAGATAGGCTGTATTTATTTTTGCACAGCTGATATAAAGGGACACCTAGTGGTTAAAGCACGTTATTGAATTTCATTATTTTTATTATTAGATATTAATAGGATCCCTATAAAGTATATTCATTACTCGTTATTCTCTACTAATAGTTAATTAAAGACTGTATATAATGACTATTTTGCACATCCCTTTCAAGATTTCAAGATGTTCTAAGGTTTATTGACATATCATATAGGCCTACACAACTATGGTGTAGTTCTGCATTGAATGAAAAACTTGGGACGCAGGTTCCTCAATAGTGCATTACAAGACATCTATCAATATTTGTGCGTACCTCCAGCAATGTTAACTATGTTGAAGCACTTATTTTAACTGATATGCAACACGAAAAAAAGGGGGAAATCGTGTTGGTGAACACGAATCAATAGATTAAAAATCGTGTTGGTGAACACGAAATGCCATGAGACTGGGTTGAGTCACTGCAACAAAGTGCATTGTGAATTTTGCATTAGATCAAATCTCGAATATTTTATTTATTCAGGTATACATTACAGAAAGGCTTTTATTAGGGAAAACATTAAATCCTCTGTGTTCATTTTCTAAGGGTATTTATGTCCACTCTATTCAGACACCAGGTTTCTGAATCCACAGATAATCCCCTAACTAGTTGACACAAAGAGACACCATTACCTTTGACTACCATTGAGTGTAAATGTGTGTCAGTGGAGCTGTACCTTAGCTGCCTTCAGGAGGATCTCCCTCTCCTGCTCCTCCTTCCTCTGTTTCTCCTGCTGGTCCAGCTGCTCAAAGAACTTGAGCTGAGCACGAACATCGCTGCTCTGCTCATAACTGTCGTCCTCCTGCCGACACACGGACAAGTTACAATGTTATACTTTAGCCAAGAAACGCCTTGCCTTGATTGCAGGAGACATTATGGCATATATGTGGACCCCAAAAAGGTATATGAGGTATCTGTGGTGTGCATGCTGAAAGGAGCAAAGTAAATACACATGAGCTTTGAATGTCATAGACAGGGTTTGAAATGATGTTTTATAATCAGCTAACACTGTGGCAGGCCACTGGCAACTCAAATCATTTGTCTGCCACTTCTGAAATGTATTTCAAATACAAGCATGGTCCTTCTTTAATAAAGACATCATTTGCAAATATGATGTCTGTCTTGTAACCTTAATCCCTGACTATTCACACCTTCGGTTTAAAATAAATGTTAGGTGGCAGGTACAAATGTCATTCCTTGATCCTCGCACCAGCAATATGTGTTTACTGCAAAACCATGGGGAAAGGTGAATTTAAACTTCTATACGTCTCTTGGATAATGCTGTAAACAAACCTTTATGGAGTAGCTCTTCTGCTGGGCTACTTGGGAAACTTTCTCCAGCAGGGTCTGTAGGCGCTGCTGCGTAGCGTGGGAGACGAAGGTCACCACGTCGGCCCCCAGGTCGGTCACACCGTACTTCCTGCCTGGAAAACAAACGGAGACACCCGGGGCTTTAGGGTCTGGATGGAGAGGAGCTGTATCGTCACTCATGTTGTAAGAGCCTCACCGATCTCCATCATCCTCCTCTGCAGGAGGGCGCAGGAGAGGAACGCCTCGTCCTTACAGGACCGCGTCACCGCTCCCACTAGACCAGAATTGGTAGCTAGGATGTTAGCGCTTTCCTCCGAGAGGTTCACTCCAGCCATGGAGGCCACATCGTTTATGTCGTCATCATCTCTGTAAACAAATGGAGGCGTTTCAAGAATCACAATATGTGTTTCCTACATAACCTGTTACAAGGTATGCTGACAATGAGATTAATAGCTTTCATTTCTACATTTATTTCTACCCGTCTAATTCTATTTGAGCTAGTTGTACTTATATTTTACTCTCTTTGCTTTTTAATAACTGTTTTCAAATATAATAGTTTTTCCACTGCACTTTATCTTACTGCCCTAAATGTTTTTTGGTATTTGGTAAAGCACTTTGAATTGCCTTGTGTTCGAAGATGCTATATAAATAAACGTGCCTTGCCTTCGCTGACTTAGTTAAAGAAAGTTCCCCACGGTATTTGTATCACCTTCGAGTGATGCTAATACGAGAACTTGTTAGAATAAACTACATGTACAGTAGGGTTGATTTGAAATCAGCTTTTCTCTTCTTACTTGAACAAGCCCCCCGCCTCTCTCAGCTTGTTCCTCTGAGCGAGGGTCAGCGCTGCAGCAGAGACTTGCCTCGGAAAAGGTGAACCCTCCGTCTTCACAGGAACTAGAAAAGACACATAATTACAATAAATAGGACGAGTCACCCAAGGAGCAGCACACACATGCACAGACAAATGTGTTATTAGCTTTTACCACATTGTGTTATATCCTTAGCTTTCCATTAGGTGGCGTTTTTTACATGTATGTTGGATGTTTTAGGGCCTATGTCCACAAAGCGCATTTTTCTGGCAGGAAGTCAAATGTATATGTATGAGCTTGCCAACGCTTAGTCTGACAGCCATATAGTGGGGGAGGGAGACGATAAAAGTCACACATTTAATGTCAACAACATCCGGTGTCCAGCCGACAAATCTGCACCAACAAACAAGACTTTTGGTCTTTGTTGTGATAGTTTGTGTCTGACAGATTCGGCCATAAACAAAGCTTCTGATGTCATCTCTACGACACCAGCGCTTTTCTGGAAAGTTGAAATACTTGAAGCGTTACAGCGGTCAACAGAAGAAGGCTCAGCGCTGGGAGAAAAGACGCAGGGCGCTGCGCTTTGGCTAGAGCAGTGTTTTTCAAAGTGGGGGCCCCGACCCCCCGGGGGGCCGCCAGGGGGCACCAGGGGGGTCACGCAAAGTTTGAGGGAAAAGGGATTTTTTTTTTTTTTTAAAGTTTTTTTTTTTCTTTTTTTTTCTAGATGTTATTAATAACTGTATATCTATCAATCGATGTGTCCTTTGATGCCAATCTTTTAATATTTTTGTTTTTGAATCACACGACCGCCCTTCAAGCCAATCAGAATCGATCTGCCGCTACTGAGAGTGAAACTGAGTATCTGCTCAGCTTTGGGAGCAAGTGAGAGCTAGTGAATGTTTCGCTCTGCAGCTGGACGAGAGCACGGATGTAGCAAATGTCGCAGAATTGCTTGCATACATCAGATTTATTTCAGAAGACAACTTTGTTGAGGAAATATTATTTAGCAAAGCACTGGAAGGTAGGACCACATGAAGAGACATTTTCCAAGTTTTAGATGAGTACATCATCTCAAACGGACTTGACTGGTCTCGTTGTGTGGGTGTGTGTTCGGATGGGGCAGCGGGGCTATGACAGGCAAACAAAGCGGAGTGACAGCTTTGATCAGGCAGAAGGCCCCAAATGTAGTGGCAACACACTGCATGCTCCATCGCGAGGCACTTGTACACATCATTTAAAAAATTTTTTAAAAATTGCAACAGGGGGGTCCCCGCCAGAGGATAATGCTATATGGGGGGGTCCTTGGCATGGCAACGTTTGGGAACCCCTGGTCTAGAGGAGGCATGCACTCTGTTCTCATTGGGATCATTTGAAAAAAGAAGCTGGTTTTATTCGTCCACTGCACATATCATGACTTTGTGTTGACCTTGAGGTCCTCACCTTGCTGCAGCTGGACGTGCTGCTGGCCCAGCATGATGCGGCCGGGGGCCTGGTTCCTGTGGGCCACCATGGTGGGCGTCGGTAAGGCTACCTGAGGTCTCAACATTGTTCTCTGCTGCTGAGGCTGGATAACCTGCAAGGTTAAAGGTCCACATGCTGATTATGTCATTATTTGACCATAGTTTCATGATTACTTAGTGTTGAAAATATTTGAGATGCCTCATTTGATATAAACTTTGCAGATTGGAGTGGAGCTGCCATCTGACTCGTGTATTAGTTAGTTTACCAGTGAGGGGGCGGGTCCTGGTTTGCTGATGCCTGTCTGGAGCTGGGGCCTGCTGACGGGGGTCATGAGGCGGGGAGAAGGGCTGCCCAGGACCACCGAGGTGGGGACGGGGGAGGTGGAGGGGACCGTACTACAGGCTGGCACCGGGAGCTGACTCAGCCGGATGAAGGCTGCTGAGTCTGGGGTGAGTTGCCTCAAGGCTGGGAGGCTTCTCTGCAGGAGAAACACAGAGCACACATAAAGATGACACATCTGTTATCTCCTGTGGTCCAAGAACATACACATTACTGGAAGGGATGTCAGTGAAAATGGATTTAGAAAATAAGCTTTCTTACCTTGAGGAAAGGCACAAGGTAGGGTTGGGGGGAGGAGTTGAGCTCTTTGTACAATCTGCTGGTGAATTCCTCAGCCTCCAGTCTGCCCTCCTAGGATGAAATAAAAAGGCAGAAAGAGCTGTGAGTGAGAGCGGCTCCATCTGCAGGTACAGGGGATGCTTGTTTTTGACAACACTGTTAAATCACAGCTGGTCTTGTAGCTTGTTGATTGACAATACGGAACTTTCTGTCACTGGGAGGCTTTCTATGAAACAATAAAGAAGACGTTTTGTGACGTTTTAAAGTAGTGTGTGATTTGTTGTCTTCTCCATCGTTGCAGTCAGTTTCTCCTGGGTAGGATTCCTTTCATGTTTATTGCACTGTTTTTTAGCGGGAGCAGAATCGTCCTCAGAGGTCTCCTAATCTTCAGTAATTAAACAGGTGAAAACACTAAATAAAGCTTCAAGTTTTTTTTTTTTGTCCAAGTGTTTCTCTGGTTTAGGTTTTCAAGATTCAAAGTTTTATTCTCATAACATATATATATAAAACTACGGTGTAATTATGAAAAACTTAAATCGCAGGTTCCTCAACAGTGCTATCTAAAAAGACATAAAACAATATAAAAGATGTAACATGGAAACGTGGCTTGAAGCTCACAGGCTCACAAAATGATAGATTTCTGTCGTAAAAAGTCTACTTGTGTCAATAACCTCAATCGTGAGACACATTATAGCAGTTGACAGGTAGACGTGTGTGTGTGTGTGTGTGTGTGTGTGTATGTGTGTGTGTGTGTGTGTGTGTGTGTGTGTGTGTGTGTGTGTGTGTGTGTGTGTGTGTGTGTGTGTGTGTGTGTGTGTGTGTGTGTGTGTGTGTGTGTGTGTGTGATGCTCACTCACCAGCAGGTCTTTGACCAGCTCTCTCACATTCGCTGCAGTCTCTGTGGACTGCTTCCCAGTGGAGGCCAGCTTGATCAGTGTGGACAGGAAGTTTTTACATTTCTTCACATTCTCCATTGTCTCCTGCCCAAAAACACAGAAGTGATTAACAAAATCAGGTCTCAATTGTGATTACAACTGTGATGCTGAGCTGCATGCTTCACCCGCTGTTATCAATCTGTAATTGTTTAGAGTACACCCTGACATCCAGCTCTCTCCGATCGCTCAACTCACTTTGCTCACTGATATCGGGGCAAGTTGGCTCCCAGCTGACGGGCTGGCGGTCCTGGGGGTCATTCCTGTTACTGTAGCCCCAACTGAACTCTGGGAAAACAGACATCAAAATCGTCACATGTTATTTAGGATGTTCAAACATTTCAAAACCCCAGTTTCAATTCATCACAGATGAGTGTGGGTTTTAGAGTTGCTTCAAAGTTGAGCCATGCATCAAACGTCGGGTCCATCAGAGGAAACATTTCAGTTAGGTGCTCGTTTTCTCAAGAAATTACCTCAGTGTGTCGGTTTGAAACATTAGGAAAAACTGTCAGCACTCCAGTATTATGATTTTATCATTTTGTGATTGATTTATTTGTTGATTTGCAAATCTACTGACATGTTTCAGTGCGTGTAACAAACTCTTGGAAGTTTAGGTCTGAACTCTTTCTTAAGTCCAGGAAACAAGGTTCACGATCACCAATAACCCAAGGCAGGAAACCATTTATGCAGAAAGCACATCTTTCAGAAGGAGTTTGCATCCTCTTCATTGAGTAAAAATGCACTCATAAGATCCTTCTAGTGTGACATCTACACATAAAATGGTAATATCATTATCTATAATAAAATAATCAAGCAGTAATAAGGAACTAAGTGCCAACATTACGTGTGCAGCTCGTGCAAGTGATGCACACATAACACTGTGCAACAAGCCAAATGAAAATAATAACTTATTTGACAGCAACACACGGGGTTACCTGAAGGACAGGGGGTCTGTGAAGAGTGGTGGTCGCAGAGAGGGGTGTTGGGGTCGGACCCCCCTGGCGGATGATGGTGCTGGGAGCCACTTGTCTGCTAATGATGGTGTTTCCAGGAGCCTGAGACAAGGCATAAAGCAAGATGTGAAACACTCAGTTTAATCAAACCTGAAAATTCTAAATACATAAAGCTATGTATTTTACAACAGCATGATGGAAAGAAAAGAAGAGTGTTTTAGCCTGTACTGCAATGCTTCTCAATCTTAGGGTCACATGAGGGAACTTTATCAGGATGTTCTCTACTGGTAGGGCTACCATTGAGGAAACTGCAAAAAGGTGTTTTCCATGTAAGCAGGGGACATTATCATATTTCATCTATCATGGCCATTAAGCTGGGGTTTTCCCACCATTGTGGCAGGATGGTCAACCCCCGACAGCCCACCAGTGGCAGCTCACAAGTTTCCAAATACCAACACATGACCTCTAACATAACTATTTTGTACTTACACTGAAGCTGAACATGTTCTTTGAAGTGCTGGCCTGCAAATGAGGTAAGTCATATAATGCTTCCTCTGACTGTGTGATCCTACCTGAACAGGAGGTACACTTGTTGGTGTGGCGGTCCGTGGTGCCATGCCTCCCTGAGCCTGGGCCTGCATCTGGGCGAGAGCCTGCTGAGGAATCATCAGCAGCTGTCCGCTCTCGCTGCGTACGAGCACCATCCCTGAACCATAAATCATAACAGTTAAGTGTTATTTAAGGAATCTGGTGCAGACACATAACCTACTTTATATAGTATGATTTCTGTATTGGTTAACCAATATACAATCATTCCATGTCTCATTTTAAGGTAATTAAACAGAGGCAAATTCATCATAGTGTATTTATATGGACCAATATCAGGAATGTTACATTTGTCTCAGGGGTCTTTACATTTTATACAGAATATGAACACGACACGATGTGTCTTTAGACCCTCACAAGTAAAAACCCACGGTTAAAGGGGAAACATGAAAGAAACCTCAGGGAGAGCAACAGAGGAGGGATCCCTTTCCAAGGACGGACAGACTTGTAATAGAAGTAGTTTGTAAATGAAAACGATACACCATTTACAACATAGATAGCCCAAATTCTAGAAACAAATCAATATGTCTATGTATTAGAAGATTAAGATGTATCCAGGTGGATGTCAACAATCCTCTGGGTGCCATCAAATGAAAACAATAGTTTGGAGTAAATAAATGCCTGTGCACATACAGTAAAAAAGTTCTGATTTCACTCACCCGGGGGTAGCTGGATGTTATGAACGTTGGGCTGTCCCGGGGAGGTCTGCTGGAGCCTGGGGGCCAACATCTGAGGCGTGAAGGCTCGGATCAGGCCTGGACCGGGAGCTCCTGTCGTGGGGAACCGGGGAGAGCTGACGACCCCCGGAGTGACAGCCGGCTGTGGGGCTGTCTGTATTATTGTGGTGGGGGGCTCTGCCTTGATTATGTGCGAGCCTGCGCTGGACGCATTGTTTACAAGCGGGCTGTGTGACCCGATGGTACCTGTGTGACCCAATGCATTGGCCACCACAGCAGCATGACTCGCATTATTGTTCCCATTCAAAGTTGCTCCCGACCCCGTGGTTTGCATAGGCGGCCTGACGAGTGTCACAGTGGCTCCTGTTGTTGCCGGGCTCAAAGCAGTCTGGGAGTTCATGAGCGGCGTCTGAATGACACTGTTGGACGAGGGGTGCATTGTAGCAGCACCGAGCAGCCCTTTCGAGACCCCCGGTCCACTGTTGAAAGCGGTGACAGATATCGCATTGCTGTTGTTGTTAGTAGTGCCACTTGTCGCTGTCGCCCCTCCGCTTCCTGAATTGTGAGAGTCCATAGTGTGGCTCCCATTGAAAGTATGCACTACTTTCCCCTGGTGATTGGGGAGATAAGTTACTCCGTCACTAACAACAAGTTTTTTGCCAGGTTCGTGTCCCGAGCTGGAGTCTGTGCTGTGCGTCGGTGCATCCATAGTTGAACCATGGGGAGCTCGTTATATGATGAGAACCCCCTGCACTCCAACTTGTTTAGAAAGCAGCACAAACACTCTTGAATGTGATGGGGCAAGACTCTTTCACATGTACTGTTTTTATCAGTCAGCTCCTTCGCTTGCTTTTCGTGTTTTCTCGGAGAGACAAAGAGGAAAACAACATTAGTAGTTTACAGCGTACCTGCTTTGGCAATCGTCTTGACCAAGTCCCAGCTGGACATTAGCTCGCCATGTTATTACCGGCTGCTTCGTGCCTACCACAGTGGTTGTTGTGACACAAGAACGACAGGTGTGACTCTACAGACTGTTCGGGATGACAAACCACCGCTTTATTCACCTCTGTGTGTGAAAAAGGCTCGTCTAGCATGCCAGACCACACCGCCATCTTCACACTCCTGTGAGCTTGTGAGAAGTGAGGGACTTACCGAGTGACATGCGCCTGCGCACAACGACTAAACGTCTCCGTGCGGGGATTTTCGAGAGCTGTGATTGGCTGTTCGGCATTGTAAAAGGCGGTACCAATGGCTTCAGCTGTCATTCCAGGGGATGCATGAGACGGAACAACATCGTACCGGAGACGAAAATGTTTTCATCAAATGTTACATTGCCGCCAGCGTCTTTCTGCCTTCACGATAGCTATTCTGTTTCAGAATTGCACCGTGTGACTATTGGGAGAAGGATATCGGGGTTTACGACAAGCCAAAACACCTAATTTTAGAGTTTACTCACTCTTGATGCGCTGAGCAAGATGGCTGCAGTGTTTTGGCCAACAAGTGAAGTAGCTGTTGTAAAGAGGCGTTTGAGGGCGCCCCACCCTCCTCCAAGAGAGGAAATAGCCTATTGTACAATGCTGTCAGCAGTCATGGGACTTACGCTGACGTATAGATAAATGCAATGCAAATAAAGTGTGTTTTTCTTTCTTTCATTTACGTGTTAAAATGTGAATCACAATGTAATTTATAAAATATGTTAGACATGTTGCAGTTCTAAATGACAACCTTCCTATAAAATCCTTTTATAGCTGTGAGGAATTTTGCATGACAAATAAACTGTTAAATTGTTGGCTACTTTTCAGATAATAATGCAAATGTGAAACATAACCCAAAGGGCAATGCAATTTGATAGCCTATATGACAAATACTATGGACATGTAAAGAAAGGGATATTTATTAAACTACAACAGGAAATAGAATAGCTCAAATTTAATATTCAATTTCTTATTCAGTTACATTTCTAACATGTAATCAGGCTATTCTATAATGATCTTGAGCAGTGCACAAATAAATAAATTTAATAACAATAATAATAAGAAGAAGAAAACATAGATTTATAATAATGAATCGGTTTATTTGAAATGTTCTCTTTTAACAATGGATGACATTTACTCCAAACATATTGTTACGTGCAAGTCACATGGTACAGATGTAAACCATAAACGAATTGCTCATAGTTGTGTCTTCAATGTAGTAATATAAATTAACATTAGTGTAACTGTTTATGCATTTGTGCTTATCATGCCAATAGGGTGTGCAGTTTTTCTAAGGCTATAAACTACGCAGACTCGCTTCACACTTACGTCTTGATTACTTATTGTGGTGTACGCCGTGTGGCTAAAGAAACGAACCCATTTTTACGCACAGGTGCATGGGCCATCAGCAAAGAGGTGCGTGCGTCACTGGCAATCTTATAAAGCGCACAGGTGCCTGCTAATTGCGGACACAGCTGATTAGATCTTGTCTGATGGTGTCGTGGTTTAATGTTCTGTGATTGAGAGGCTGCTTTTCACTTAGAAACACATTTTTGCTGCAAAGATGAGCTCCGGAGGAGGAACCCCATATATTGGCAGTCAAATAAGTTTGATATCCAAAGCGCATATACGGTATGAGGGGATATTGTCTTCTGTCGACACTGATCGGTCCACGGTTGCGCTAGCCAAAGGTAAGTACAGAGGCCTACACGACATGTGGTTTTAGTCTTCGATAATTATCTCTGCACAACTTAATGCATAATGACTTTGTTCATGTTTGTAGACTTGACATTATATTGGAGGTAAACCAAACTTTTGTCCAACTTTATATCCGAACAGTTAGATCCTATGGGACAGAGGACCGGCGCGCAGATAGACCAGTGCCACCCAAAGATGAAATGTATGAATACATAATCTTCAGAGGAAGTGACATTAAAGATATCACTGTGTCCGAGCCTCCAAAACAACACCATGGACTGCCTCGGGACCCTGCTATTGTACAGGTGAGTGGCTCTGAGAAACTCAATTTCAAATGAGTATATTCATTTATAATGCAAGTTGAAAAAAGTTGTACTATGTCTATACATTCTTTTTGTAGTCATCCATGGGCAGCTCTTTGGCTGTGTATCATCCCAGGTGGAGTTCATACAGAGACATGATGCCCACCTACAACCAGCTGGCTGCTACGTCTCTACTGAACCAGCAGTACAGTGCAGCACTAGGCCTAGGTACAATAGATTTTTTTTTTTTTTATATTTTAGACATTTGTTAGAGATTTATGCAATCATAGGGGCTGTTTCTCACATGTATCAGCAGTTAATCAAGCCCCACCATGTTTGTTCCTGCTCCTTATGTACCAGGACTCCATGGCATCCCCAGCCAGAAGAGCTCCCATGGTGGAGCAGGCTGTTCAGACCGTGCCTTTGGATGGGGCGGCCCAGAAAAAAGGAAAGGCTTCTACCCAGCCACAGGACAAACAGCCTGTTCGACCAACACAGCGCTCTGCCGAGGTTCAGAAGGAGAACGTACCCACCAGTAAGCAACCACTTGAGGAATACATAATCAGTTTTTTTTTTGCATTACTTCCATTTTAAAGAAAAAGTTCCAAACATTACATTTTTACATCCTTAGGTCGGACACCATCTCAGCCAAGTGCAGCCAAGGTTGAAGACCAAGTTGCTGAGAACCAGAAACAAAGGCAAAAACAAGGTACCAACATTTGAAATGCACACACTGTTATGTCTGGCCAAATGGCAATCTTTGTTTTGAGTTAGAAAGAATTATCGGAGAATGGAAGAACGGCAAGACAAATGAGGATTGAATACAAGGTCTCCGTCCTCACCCACCAGTGTATCCATGGAACTCCTCACCCCTCATACTTCCTTGCGGACCTCTCGCTCCAGCAATACCAACTTCCTCAAACCCCCCAGGACCAAGCTCCGTATTATGGGAGACCAGGCCTTCTGCTCAGCTGCTCCCATACTGTGGAATGCTCTCCCCGACCACATGAGAGCACCACATACCGTGGAGGCTTTAAAAAAAGGCCTCAAACCCCATCTGTTCAATAGAGCCTTTTCGTAGGCTGTTATCTTGTTTATTACTACCCTTTTATTTATTGTTACTGCTTTTTATTCATTCTACCGTGTTGTGTACTGTTTTTATTTTTGTTCCATGCTAAATGCGTGTAGCACTTGGGATCTGAACTCAGATATGAAGTGCGTTATAAATTAAACCCATTATTATAAATGTCAAATTATGCTCACCTGTCTGTTAGAATTATATCAAAGACTATATGAACCTGTTCTAAATGGTTACTCAACCAGTTTTACAAATATCTTTGTGGGTTTTCTTCTTGAACTTTCTGTTGCTTGTGTGCAGGCAACCGGAGGTCTAGGAACCGAAGCAGAGGCCAACTTCTGGTGAAAAACTCGAAGGCCACCACCTTGCAGTTTGATTCTGATTTTGATTTTGAAACTGCAAATGCTCAGTTTAAAGATGATCTCAAGAAGGATGTTGTGGGTAAGGTTATTTCAAATTATACAAGTCAAATTACTTTCAGTGCACATGTCAAATATTTCAATGTGTGTTATTTGCATTTTGTTTAATTTCTGCAGTCGAAAAGGTGGATGCCGAGGATAACCTGGATGTGCAGGAGGAAGAGGACACTCAAGGAGAAAAGTACTACGACAAAGCCAAATGCTTCTTTGACAACATCTCTTCAGACCTTAAGCCCAGGTGATTATCTAACTTCTGCTGTTTTTACCTGAGGCGTTTGGCATGCTCAACAATATATATTTTCTTTGTGCATTTTCAGGAGAACCACCTGGGCGGAGGAGAAGAAAATGAACATAGAAACATTTGGAGTTCCAGGCCGCTTACTGAGAGGCAGAGGAGGCAGAGGACGCAGAGGACGCAGCGGGCAGAGCACCACTAAGCAGAGACCCCTCCCAAAAGTTGGCAGTGGGAGGTTGTAAATGCGTTTCGTTTTTCCTTTTGTTAACATTTACTGTAAATATTGTAGTTTTCTACTTATTTAAAAAGTACCTCCCTTTTTCCTCTATTTGAAACTAAGATTTATTTTCTTAATCCCAAATGAGCATTCAGGGAATTTTGTAATTTAAAGTTTTATTATATGAAATGGGAGCAATTTATTTTTACACAGCAGCTACATGCTAGAAGCAAATGTATTAATTGTTAGGTAGTCTGGTAGAATGCAATGTGGAATTGTCTTTTCAGCAGGCACATAATTTGGTTTTTGATTTCTGTCTACTTGACTGACCAAATGTAACTCCAAATGTATTTTTGGAGAACAGCTGTACTTTATTTTCATCCTGTAAAAAGAAAACTGTGGAGGACTTTGTAACAGTTGCTAATAAATAACATATGATTAACAGAATGGATTTCCTCTCTGATGTGAATTGGCAAAAGCATTCAGTGACAAAATGTACCCTTTTTTTAATTTCACCCCTCAACAAAAAAATATAAAACATAAAAGCTCAGTTTTGTATATGTGGTGGCTTGCAAATGGAGGCCAGTTGCTTGAACTTGGGGCCCAAGTTGTTGAGTGCTTTCTGGTATGAATCCTTGTCAGGAAGGATGATGTTCTCCAGCTCTGAGAGCACGTCAAAGTCGCCCTCCTCTGCATAAACGTGAGGCTCATAGTCCAGCAGGTCAGCCTCTTTCCCCTGGAGAGAGGAGAGCCGCTAAAGGAGTGAAAACATTTAAATAAATATAATGTTTGGCACCTTTTTTTTCTGCAAAGTAGACGTGATTCTGAAAGTGCACTGCCCACCTGATGAAGCAGGGCTTGGAGAGCTGCATGGAAGTTCATTGTGCTCGTTTCCTCACGCTGTACGAAAAGGTTCACATAAATATCAATTTTCTTCAGCGGCTGCCTTAACGTAACAATGAGCACAAACCAAACTATTACCTGATGGGTGTGATGTTGGCCATTAGAGAGCTCCAAGATGTCTGAGAATGGAGACGGAATTAATATTTGAATGTCCGGATTATAATTATCTTTAAATGGGTGCATATTACCTGGCTCCAGTTCTCGTTGTATGGATGGGACATATCTTCTAAGTGTTCGTAGATGAAATTTTGCTCCATTTCCTGTTGATGTAAATGATGGGAACAACTGTGATGCAGAGCTTAACTAAGTTACAATACGTCCACATTTTCAAAGAGAAGGGTTCATTTTACAAGCCATGTTTCTATGTATGTATGAGAACCTGTAAAAAAGCAACTTTGTCAATCCCTCTACAAACCTGCAGATCACACACATGTTTCGTCACCTTGGAAAAATTGCTGTGTTTTATCCCATGATGCTGACCTCCCCAATTAGATGGGTCACTGTGGGTCTCCTCAGTAAACCGTGCCACTATATCGTCCGGTACGACTACCTTGAAAGAGGGTAAACGTACTGATATTAGCAAAACATTTAGATCAAAATCACTTGTTTTATCTGCAAGTTTTTTTCAGTACGGACCTTGCAGTCTGTTCCTGGATTCTCAATGTTTGATGGCAGGAGGGTGGCTCCAGAGGAATCACTGGGCTCCAGAGGGACGAACTCTTTTCTGCAGGTCATGAACACTGCCATTAGAAGCAGACCTGTCAGCGAGACAGAGACGACAAGATTCAACCTGTATTCAGAAATGTAACAATACATTTTACAGTGATGCAAACTAAAGGAATTTGGTATCTTACACATGATCAAAAGTAGTGAGGCGAACACTATGGCCAGAGCCCCGGGAGCAGCTGTTGTGGCAGTGCTTCGGGGGTCTCTGCAGTTTGGCGTCACACTGCAGTCACACACTGTCACACTGAGGTTGTACACGGCAAACTGTCCCTGCATGTCAGAGATCTTCACATCAACTGTGTGTGGTCCGGAATAAACACCAGGCTCCTTCACCAGGCCGGCTGTGTACCCTGTGAGAAATAATCACACACAATTAAATAATATTTGTCTTTATATTTTACATATTTTACCACATATAACTAGTTCTACCATGTGAGGGATTCAGCTTCCATTTTCCTTTGACGTCACCCAGCAGTTCAAATGTGAAAGGCCCCGCGTAGGGATGATCATCCAGGTCAAAGGCTGAGATGTTGGTGCTGGAGGGGCCGTCGGACACACACACATCCACAAAGTCCACTGTTGGCTGAGGCACGTTGTCGTTCTGGTCAGTCACATGAATGTTCAAAGTGGCTGTGCCTGTCATGGGTGGCACTCCTATCCAACATAGAAACATAATGCAGTTATGCTAGCAACACTTTAAAGGTCCCATGTCATGGCCATTTCTTCTGATCATAATTCCATTGTTGAGGGAAACTAGAATAGATTTACATTGTTCAATGTTGCAAACTCACATTGGTTTCTCATACAGCAGCTCTGTATAGTATGTGTATTCCCTCTCTGTCCTAAATGTTGGAGCTCCTGGAGCGCCACAGTTTCCACTAGCAACCCCCCCCCCCCCTCCCCCCTCCCCCCTCCCCCCAGGGCGTCACAGTTTCGCCGCTGAGAGAGTATTTGGGCATGGGCACGTCACTGTACCCAGGAAGTAAAAGAGAAATCTCCAACGATGCGTTCTGGGGAAGCATAGACAGGTCTTTTCTGTGTTAGAGTTTTACTCGCTACAGGGTGTACTTTGAGAGTTTGTGACTCTGCAGACCGTTTACATGCATACAAAGCTACATAACACACAAGGGGACGGGTAATAACCGGAAAAGCATGACATGGGACCTTTAAGGCTGTACTTCCAGCTGAATACTATCATCATGCATGCTAACACACACACACTGATGTTGCAGACATGTTTATGCTCAGCAGGTATGATCAAACCATTTTCACTGTCTTAGATTTGCAGGATAGAATGAAAACATTTGCTAATTGACCTTTTTCACTGAAGATGATTTTTTCTTTGGAAGGTTACTGTGACATGACCAGGAAACATCTAAGCAATGACCTGGTCTAATTCTCTAATGCTGAAGAAAGGTACTATGATTCTTTCCTTTTTCTTATCTCCTCAAACACAGCGTACTCTCGACCGTCCTTTACAGAAATGAAAAAGATAATGTTGTCGCATAATTCCATGCCTTGACATTCACATCTGCTGTTGCATAATTCATAGCCTTGTGAACGTTCATTTGGATTTTACTTCACGCCTTCACTTGACCTAATGACGTCTGCCATTAAGGGAGAATAAAATAAATAAGAATCTTGACTATTTAACCACATCCCAGAAGTAGGGTGTGTGCTTGCTCACTTTCATAAACACAAAGAATAACAAAGGTTGGGTATAGCTGGTATTTGGGCAGAAAACTAATATATTGGACGGATAGAATTGATGACCTGATGGTGGTGCTAGAGTTATCCTGAGGTGAGGCTTGAATGTGTGTCAAATTTCATGAAAAACTACAAATGTATACCTCATATGATCACCGAAGTTTCCAGGGTTAATAATCTGGGAAACATAAAGGTCAGTACCAAATTGTGTTCAAAATCCATTGAGATATTTCACAGATGGAGTGAAAAGTCAGGGGCCACTAACGCCAGCCCCAGAGACACAAATAGTGTCACAAAGCAGTGAGGATTTAAATCAAATATATATTTGTTCATTTAAATACGGTTTGTGTCAGTGCCAGTCAGCATCAATTTGAGTTGTACCATCATCCAAGGCATGCAGTAAGATGGTGTAGAAGCCGTCGCTGACATGAGGAGATTCTCTATCTGGTGTCCCGACTGTCGTGATGTCTCCTGTTTGAGGATCCACCGTCACCCAGCCAGCAGGATCGCTTCCTACCTTGTACCTGTGGACAAATACGACTTGCTTTAGTGAAAGAGCTCCCAGATAAGCTAAAACATGTTGGATCGAACGTCCCACTTACACAAAATCTCTTGAGTCAGGATCCACGGCGGTCACTTTCTCCACCCACGTCCCGATGGGTGCGTTTTCCTCCAACGCGACCTCTTTCACACTCACACTGAACACCGGGGGGTCGTTGACATCCTCCACTTCGATGCTAACTTTTACAGTGTCCGGCGGAGGAACGTCACCTTTACTGGTTTCAACTTTCCAGAGGCCCGATGGCGGCCTCTCCTTCACTTTACAGGAGAAATATGGCGCCTCATTTTCCACTGAGATGGTCAACTCCCTCAGGGCCTCCTCCTCAAAGTCTAACGGCTGAATCATACAATACATACAATACATTGTCATTAGAGACACACAAGGACAAACATGGCTGATGTAAAGGTACAGTAATAATACACATTACACCTAATTACACACCAGACTACAGATGTGTCACTGTAATGTAAAGTATGCAGCTGAGCAGCTCTCACCTTTACAACCGTCAGGATCCCATCGTTGGTGTCCGGGTCTGTTTCTATTTTGAAGTGCGCTCCCTCGTCGCCCTGAATGGTGTATTTAGCTCTCCATGCCGCGCTGTTTGGCGTGTCTTTGTCTGTCGTATGCAGCCGCAGAGGAGACGTACCGATTTCATGTTCTTTTACTTTCCCAGAGCCCTGTTGTATGATTCAAAAGGGCAGAGGTCAAGGGAAAGGAATCTGATATAGAGCATCTATTTATTTCCCGTATAGGAGTCGATGAGTGTAGATTATACTGTTGTTTATTACTAACAGAGCTGGAATGGCTTATTTTAAAGTGTAAAGTAAATTAGTTACTCTGTGTTTTTTTAATGTGAGTTGAATCAGTTGTATTTATTCCTAATAACCTATTTGAATATGTCTTATCACTTGTTTGTATCCTTTGTTTCTCTGGTTGTTTTTCTTTTTCATTCCAACTATGTTTAAAACAAAAATGTAAGTTACCATTGACAATTGTAATTGTTTCTTTTTCAGTTTCTTAACCTTCCTCAACGTTCTCCCTTATATCAATCATTGTAGAATTTCTTATACTCATTTCAGATCTAAACATAATCCTATTTTTAAATGGCAACACCAACATGCCATGTCTAACATGAATGGACATCAGCTTCATCATATGCATGTGTGTGTGAGTGTAAAGCACCAAGAACTGTGTGTTAATGTGTAATCATTGTTATGTCAACAAATAAAGAAAGGATGCTCACTGTTTGTCCGCTGATGGCTGGGAGGTGGTTGTTGCCGTCCTGGACGTGGATGATAACAGTGCTTGAGCTGGACAGACTGACTACGTCACCGTGGTCCTTGGCCTCCACCACCACTGTGAACATCTCAGCCACCTCAACACAAGCAAATCAAAAAGATATAATTAGATTTCTAAAATACAGAACTGGGCTACCATCCAGTCAGGGTCCATTTATCTTCTTTAATGGTAATTGTATTATCAAAAAGTGGCATTATCAGCACAATCAATAGTATATATATATATATATATATATATATATATATAT